TATTTTATTAAAAGTTCTCTTCCTTCATCAGGCCAGCCTAAAAGGCATTTGCTGACTACTGGCTGGAGCCTATTTGTCAGTGGAAAGAGACTCCTTGCTGGCGACTCAGTCCTGTTTATTAGGTAAAGTTTGGAGGGTGAAGACCTTGTCTTTCTGTGAATGTTTGTCTGATTGCTGTTATGGTATTCTTTGGCAGTCGGTATAGCAAATTAGTCTACAGAGAGTATAACTAAAGCTGCTGAGCTTCCTGCCTGTGATTGTAGGGACGGAAGACAGCATCTCCTCTTGGGGATAAGGCGGGCAAATAGGCAGCCTGTTAACCTCTCATCATCTGTTTTGTCTAGTGACAGTATGCATATTGGAATTCTTGCTGCTGCAGCCCATGCAGCAGCTAATAACAGCCAATTCACAGTATTCTATAATCCAAGGTAAATAGCATCTTCTGTAATATATAAAGAAGTAATGTACTGAAAGTTTCAATTAGACTGCTTTTATCTCTTTCAGGGCTAGTCCTTCAGAATTTGTTATTCCTTTTGCCAAGTACCAGAAGGCTGTCTATAGCAACCAACTATCACTTGGCATGCGGTTTAGAATGATGTTTGAAACTGAAGAATCTGCAACAAGAAGGTATAAATTTCCAGCTCTAGTTAATGTTTGGACTCTGTAGCTGTCCTATCAACTTCGAAATCACTTTAGAAAAAGATTAGTGGATACTTTTGATTACAATTAGCTAATCTAGAATTTAGCATTCTGGTGCATCTAGAATACTTGTGTATCATGTTATGAACTGCATGTGGTTTTCTCTACCTAGATTTTTACAGTTCTTTCTGAGAACTAGGATCTTTTGTCAACTGCCTGCAGGTACATGGGAACAATAACTGGTATAAGTGATATGGATCCTGTAAGGTGGAAAAACTCCCAATGGCGCAATATTCAGGTTTGACCTGATCAGTCAAACTAAATACTCAAACCTTGCTGCATCTCCCTTTGATTTTTAAGATAAGTGTTTGTATATGCAGGTTGCATGGGATGAAGCAGCGCCAAGTGAGAGACGCACCAGGGTTTCCCTTTGGGAGGTTGAACCTGTTATAGCTCCATTCTTCATTTATCCCTCACCATTGTTCACTGCAAAACGTCCGAGACAACCTGGGATAACAGGTAAATACATAAGTACAATTATTGGCCTAACAGCATTCAATTCTATTAATGAATAGTATTAGTGCATGTATCATTGAAGTTCTTAATTGCATTTCCTTTCAAATTGATAATACTAATTTCCTTGTCTGTGTACTTGATTAATTCTTGTTATATTCTGATCATATCTGTAGATGATGATAGCTCAGAAATGGACAATCTTTTTAAGCGGACCATGCCATGGTTTGGTGAGGAGATTGGCAAGAAAGATCTGAGTACTCAAAACAGTTTAGTTCCTGGATTAAGTTTAGTTCAGTGGATGAACAAGCAACAGCAACCGGAATTGCTAAATTCGTTAGCTGGAAAACCTGTACAAACTCTGGCTGCAGCTGATCTATCTAGGCAAATTAGCTTCCAGCCCCAGTTCCTGCAACAAAATAACATCCAGTTCAACACTTCGCTGCTACCTCCCCAAAACCAGCAGACCGAACAGTTAGCAAACGTAATAGCTACACCAAACCAATTGGGAAGTGTTATAGTACAACAAAAGGTAGTTCAAAATTGCAGTTCTGAGCAGAAACAGAATCCGGTAACTCAACAATTGCAAGTCAGCCAACCAATGATTAGTATGGCACAGCCTCAACTTGTCCATGCTCAAGTCCAGCAACCTCAAGTCATTCTCCAGGCTCAGCCTCAGCATCCTCAAGTCATTGTCCAAGCTCAACTACAGCAACAGCAACCTCTGGTTCAAAATCACACCACCATACAAGGTGGTCTTCAACAAATCCAGCTTCTGCAGCAACAGCATCCTCATCTGCAGCAGCAGCAAGTTCAGCAGTCAGTGCAAGAACAACAGCAAATAAAGATACAGCCTTTTCAGGTACCTAATGACACAAACATGGTAACACAGTTATCTGATCAGATGAAAATACAACTATTGAAGGCTCTACAACCACAGCAGCCTCTGGTCATGGAACAGCAGAAAATGATATTGGATTTGCAGCAACAAGCAATAAATTCTCAGCCAACTGCTCAGCAGTGCTCGCAGCTAGCTACCCAAGTGGTAGGTTTGCATAGCAGTAGCACTATTCAGTACCCAACTCAGCAAAAGACTCAACCCCACAAACCAATTCAAGAGCTTCCTGGGAATGCTGTTTCTATTGTAAAATCAGAAATTGTCACCTCCATGGGTGCTCGCTCTTTGCATGTGCCTGGCGGAGTGCAGTCAATGAAGACAGATGATGTTCCCTCTTCTTCAACATCACCATCCACAAACAATAATCCTGTTATTTTGCGATCAACTCCAAGTAGCTCCAAGAACCAATGTTTACCTACTGCAGCAAAGGCTCCTCAATCATCTGTTGTATTGGGTTCTACACTTGAACAGGGTATGAAACCTTTTGAGAGTACACAGCACACAATGGTGATTCCCAAGATGGCTGAAGAAAGGCCAGCTACTGGACAAGACTACATGAACAGCACTCAGATGGATTATTTGGATACGTCCTCTTCAGCGACTTCAGTTTGCCTTTCTCAGGCTGACGGATCACCGCAACAAAATTTTCCACCTTCATCCTTCAATCAGCATCAACCGTTGAGAGAAACGGTTCCAGATAGCGAGTTTGAGGTTACAGATGCAGGAAATAACTTTCTATTTGGGGCAAACATTGATGGCCATATGGAGCCTCTTAATGAAGATGCCTTGCTTGGAACTACCTTTGAAACTGAGAAGTACATGGATCAGATGCCAGGAAATGGCAACTCTAACTACATTTCATCAAAGGATTCTCAACAAGAGTTATCATCTTCAATGATTTCACATTCATTTGGTGTTGCTGATATTGCATTCAATTCCATAGATTCATCAATCAATGATATCCCATTCTTAAATAGAAATTCCCGGGCTCCAGGTCCTGCTCATCAACGGATACGAACATACACCAAGGTGTGTTATTTGGCTTAGCTCCAATTTTGTCATTCACAACATATGTAACATTTACTCTTTGCATAAGGACTGTACTGAGCTCCTGATCAAGGGACTTATCTGCAGGTGCACAAGCGTGGTGCTGTTGGAAGATCTATTGACATCAACAGATATTCTGGATATGATGAACTGAAGCATGATATTGCCCGTATGTTTGGTATTGAGGGGCAACTCAGTGACCAAAATAGAGTTGGCTGGAAGCTAGTATATGAAGATCACGAGAAGGATGTTCTATTAGTTGGTGATGACCCATGGGAGTAAGTCATTTAAGCTTTTTATTTCCCTTTGTCAAAAATAAATAAATAGCATTATGAAAGGGAAAAGAAAAGTGGCTAGCATGATGGATTTCTGCAATTGAGTGGCTCATGAACAGTAAAATCAATGGTGACAGTGGGGCAATGCAATACCTGAAACCATTTTGATATTTTGATTGACGCCTCAGTCTTTAGTTGTGATATTCATATGGTTCTGTGAGTAGAGTGATAACTATAACTTTGAGCAAACACACTTCCTGATAAAAAGATGTGGAGAAGCTCTAAAATCAATTGTTCTGAGTTTTGACTGTGTAGCTGCAAAATTCTGCCATGGTCTCATCTGATTGAGAAATTGAAAGAGTTCGATCAAATTTTCATCAATTCTTCAACCATATCCAATTTCCAAATTCGACTCTTTGTGCCACATTGGTTGCTAAAAATTGGTGGCTATGCATTTGCAGGGACTTCGTGAACTGCGTGCGATGCATCAGGATTCTTTCGCCACAGGAAGAAAGGCAAATGAGACTGGTCAGTGACTATGGAGACAGCTTTCTTGGTAACCAAGCATGCAGCAGTTCTGATGGGGGTCACCCGTGGAGGGTCACCGGTGACTAGAAAGCAGACACTGTCAACACTCTGCACAGCTGGGGCCACAATGTTGGTGTGATCCGTCCCAAGATAGCAAGAACATGACCCGCGATGATAATCTACGGTCCAGATTTCTGAGCACAAACTTTTACACTTAGATGATCGTGCAAACAGTTAACATTTTAAAAAAAATGTTGCAATTCAGTGAAATTCCTACAGGAAATGTACTTCGTGGTCTGTCTCTGCTGTAGTCTCGTAGATGTAGCACTTCTGTTGTGCTATGTTTTGGCAGCCTTACAATCGATATACTACAGTTACCCTGCCTATGTATTATATAATAATATCGGCCTTGTATATCCTTTTGCTGTAACTTTAGTTGAAAGCTGAAACCCAGAGGCTGTTAGGTACAAGTACAACCATTCATAATTTGCCACAGATACAGATTTGAGTGGAGAAATGAATTCAATTTACATATGCTTCATTGTTTGTGAGCCTACCTTGATCGCCTTTAATTTGTTCAGTTCCTCTCAAAATGCTAGGTGGAAATCGAAATCCCCGTATGCAAATTTGGGAGATCGTAAAAGGTTTTCCAAATTTAGTTTTATTAATTATTGTTGTTAAAAAAATTCAAGAAAGATTATTGTTATCTATGATTGAAGCTGAGAAGTTTGAGTTCGAACTGTTTGAATTGCTAAAAGCAGTATACTCGATGCTCATCATCAGTGAATAGTGCTGCGAAAATACACTCACTGGCCGGTGGGTCCCACGATACATTGATCGGAGAGGACATCTCGGAATTTTCAGGTGGGTTTGGGTCGCCATCGCCCATCGCCCCTCCCACTCCACCCCGGCCCACCTCCGCAACCGCCATCGGCCCCGGCTCGACGCCGGCAGCTCGCTTCACTTCACGCTATACGCTCTGTACGCCATAGAGATCACCCCTCGAACTCGGGGTACAAGAAACCCCGGGGAAGGCATCGCTCTCGCGCTTCGTCGTGCTGCCTCGCCGCCACATCAGTGGCAGTGCCAGCCAGGGCGCGATGGCGGTGAGCCCGGAGCTGGAGGGCTTGCGGCGCATCGCGCCTTCCCGCTTCGTCTCCTTCGCCTTCCCCAACCCTTTCCTCGGCCACGCCTCCAATCCTTACGCGGACGGGGGCGGCGGCGGCGGCGGCGGCGACGGCGATGCGGGGGAGTGCATCAGGGTTGCCGTCCTCGATTCGCCCCTCCCTGCCCCGGCCGTCCCGGCGACGGCGGCGATGCTCGTCCCGTCCGGCCGGCACCGCGACTGGATCTTCTCCACCCGCGCCGGCCACCTCCACCTCCTCCTCTCCACCACCCGCTTCTCCCGTCTCATACTCGTTGGTCCTGAGCTCTCGGTGCCTTCTCCTCGGGTCGTTTCGTGCGTCCGTCGCCCGGACCCCGACCCTGCTCACGCTCGGCTCCTCCCCCTCCTTCTTGCTCTCTGCCCCATGGCCGCGTTTCGGTACAACGCCGTCCCTGACGTCCCGCTGCTCACCTTCCAGGATGACCTCCTCCGGCTTGCCCCTATCAAGTTCGTGGCTGGCCCTGTTGTTGGCGAGATGGTTGTCGAGGATGTGGCCATTGACTGCAGCCCCGGTCCAGCTGAATTGCGCCGCAGGCTGCGGTTCAAGCGCATGCCCTGCCTGGTGCAGACGCAGGTGCGCCTATGTCAGTCACCTGCTGCTGCTGCTTCGTCGCCGTTGCTGGAAGCACTGGAAGGCTCAGGTGAGCTGTTGCAACCGGAGGTGGGTGGATCGTTGGTCCAGCCTTACCTCCAAGCCATGGTTGCCGGTCTCGCAGTGACTGCGCCGTCAATTGAGGAGAGTATTCGGTCAGGTGTTAGACCTAGGTGTCTCTGTGCTGGTGTTGGAGGTGGATCACTCCTCATGTCAATCAGAATGGGGCTTCAGTTCGACGTGCTCGGCATTGAGGCCGATGGTGTTGTCCTGGATGTCGCAAGGAATCATTTTGGGCTGGTGGAGGATGAGTTTCTCCATGTCCATGTTGGTGATGCTATACAAATGGTAGAGGATTTTGCTCGGCAAGGGGAGCCTAATATGAATTTCAGTGCAGTTATGTTGGATCTTGACTCCTCTGATGCTATGTGTGGTGTCAGCGCGCCACCATTGGAGATGACTCATGGAAATGTCCTTCTCTCAGTGCGCACAATCCTACATCATCATGGAGTTTTGATTCTGAATGTGATTCCACCTCCTGCAGATAGGTCCTTCTACAAAGGGATGATTGATGTTCTTCGCCAGGCTTTCTCAGGACTGTTCGAAATAGATGTTGGTAATGGCGAGAATTTGGTTCTTATTGCTACAGTATCGCCGATTGAAACCACAGTTACTGGTGATTCTGGACATTTTCTGACAGAATTGAGGAAATTAGCTGGGGACTTTTTGGAGCATATAAGAAAATTTTGACATTCCTAGTCATTATGCGGTGTTGTTTCTGTTAGCCTCCACAAAGACAGTTCCATTCCATATACTTGCTGTCAACTGCTAAGAGCTGAGATGGTTATACTTGCTGTCAACTGCTAAGAGCTGAGATGGCTCCATATACAAAGAGATGCTTGTTCTGTAGTGTTATTGAGTATTTAGATATCAGGGCAAATCAATTGTCACCCAAGAGGAATGTTTTCTTGCGATGTACACACCGCACCTCATACAGACACTAGACAATTGGTATTTAGGGTGCACAACAATTTTTACGACAAGATGGCTATACATGATTTCTCTAAGCTCACTGCCAGTGCAATGTGAATGGCACATGCTGAGTGCTAAGACTAACTCAAAGTGATCTGGTTTCCTCCTGATCTTCGTCGGGCTAGTTACAATATAGTAAAAATTTTCATCAAGACATTAGTTGACCTGGAGTGTACAAAGTCAATTTTAGATTGATGCTTGAATTATTTTCAGAACAGAATATGGATCCTACAATGCAGGCCCTGTTCACTTAAACTTGTCAGCCGGCTTATCAGCTAGAATCTACAGTACTTTTCTCTCACAACGAAACAGCTTCAGCCGGCTCATGCATCAGCCGAACAGAGCCACAATTCTTATTTGAGCTTTTTATCTGTATGGCCCTGGAAAAAATGGCTATCCCTTGTATGACTCTTTTTTTTGAACTTACTTGTATGGCCCTGAAACGAATTTTCATTCCTTTTATGGTCTTCTGTCAAGTCTGTTAGCGAACTCTGTTAGTTTGTCCACTGGTGGATACGTGAAAAGATGAAATTGCCCTTCTGTGTTTCTGAAGGGGCCGCACGGAGCCGAGCGAGTTAGACCGACGTCGCGTATCGGGGAAAAAAAGAAGATCGAGCGTCCACCCGGTCCTACGACTCGCGAGGGAGATGGGGGAGTGCGTCGCTGTCGGCCAGGTGCCTCGGCCGGGATCTCCGGCCCTGGATCCGCCGGATCCGGCTCCACCCGACCCCGCTCCGTCCTTCCTCGCTTTGGGGGAGGCACTGCCGCCCGCCTCGTGTAGCGCGCGGCTGGGGCTGGTCCAGCACGGCCATGACGGCGGCCCGTCGTCCAGCGAGCAGCCCGGTGTGGCCCCTCCAGCGAATAGCCCGGCGCGGCCCCTCCAGCGAGCAGCGCGGCCGCCACCTCCAGCGAGCAGCAGCCTCGCGTGGTCGGCCCCTCCCGCAAGCAGCCTATCGCAGCCGGCCCATCCTGCAGCAAGCGTGCAGAAATGAAGGATGGCGTCGACTCCGATCAAGAAGATTGGCTGCAAGGGTGAGTCCACAATTTTTCTGCTCCTAGAAGTAGTCACAGACGTACTGAAACCCTAAATCCTATTTTGATTTTGAATATAAGCATGGATTCAAATTCCAGTTTCAAGTTAAAAGTTAAATTGTTGGACAACCGTAAAAAGTGTAGACAAGATATGAAATGTTTTTGCTTTGACATGGTTGTTGATTCAGACAAAATAAATTATGAGGACCTTGTTGAATCAGTGGTAGAGAAGTACCCGCCTGGTTATTTGAAAGTAGCTCATATTCAGTATTATGACGAAGGTCTAAAATCTTTCCTAGAAGTAAAAACCGACACGTGAGAGAGTGATGAAGGTATTTTTTTCCTTGCTCACATGGTTATTTCACACTTCTGATGGATTCTAAGTACCAACTAATTTGTCACCGTAGTCAAAACTTGGAAACCACATCTTCTAAAAAGAGGAAAAGTGATGATTGTACACTTGAAGCCCCCTAAAAGGTAATTTAAATATTGCTGAAATCTCTCTATATCATCACATCTTGCTTTGAAAACTTCATTATTTGATTACCATGGCAGCCACAGCTTGGAGGTTTCAAGTAAGAAAAAGGGAAATCGCACTAACTCTAACTTTGGACGCTCAAAATTGTACGTTTTCTAATTCTGAATTTCAGTTATATGAATCTAATTTTTTTCCTCTTATCTAAACCATTGTCGATGTATAACATTTGTAGGTCAAAAAGTGGGTCAAATCAGCCCGAAACACTTTCTATTGCTTCACGCGAAGATCGACCTGCTCAAGTTAAAAGGAAGCGGACATCTATCAAGAAGAAGCTAGGCCTTCCAAAGAAAAAAGCCGTAGACATTTCGAAGGTGCCACTTAACAGCCCATCGATGGGCACAAGAAGCAAGGCGGTACTTTCTAGCAGCCCTACCATGAGCACGCGAAGCAAAAAGAAGGCTCAGTCTTTGATTTATGATATGCCTATTGAATTTGCTAGTTGTATGTGAGACCAATGTATGTTTGAATTCGTACTCTTGTGTGACTTTATTTATGTGCGACTGAAACTATGGTGGATTTATGTGAGACTTTATTTACGTGAGACTTGGTTAATTGCAATGCATGTGTGAAAAATTTTAGAGCACATAATGTACTGTTATGTGCCCTATTTGCTTAATATTACTCCAAATATATACTATTATGTGTATTACATACTCTAAATATGCCCTACTGTTATGTGTGAATTTATTTGCTTAATATTACTCCAAATATACAACAAACAAATAAAACTCTGTAATTTATTTTTTTTACACCAGGGGCAAAACGGTCTTTTTACCCTTGACTTAATACCGTCAAGTGGAAAAAACGGACAGAAGACCATAGAAGGAATGAAAGTTCGCTTCAGGGTCATACAAGTAAGTTCAGAAAAAATAAGGCCATACAAGGAGGAGCCATTTTTTCCAGGGCTATACATGTAAAAAAACTCTTCTTCGAAATGATTTTGAAACTGCGCTTTCCATTACATCGGTTTTGCTCAGAAACTTTGTTGTATTGACTGCGAAAGATTACGATGTCTACTGACTACTGATCTGTAACAGTGTGGCAATATGCCTACATCACAGACCATTCTGTTAAACCTGCCCCAGATAGTCCTGCTAATGGATTAATGCAATGGCCTGTCATTCGCAGGTAAAATTTGCTCAGTTATTTTCAGAAGATTTCCTCGTTTGCTGTAAGAAGAACAATGCCTGATCGCCTCTTGTTTTCAGGATTTCAGGGCAGAAGCAATGGCATACCATCAGTATGTGACAACAAGAACAATGGTTTGAGTCTAACTGATGATCAGGATGCCGTTCTGTCCATTCAGATGTGGGAATGGAAGCCACTCAACGAGCTATAGCGTGTTTGGTTTGTGGCGTACAGTGATCCGGAATCATCCGACCCTATAACCGAAGCTGAAAATATCAGTTTGGTTCATGCAATGGAGCCACACCGTCCGTCATCAGGTGGTTCTACTTAGCATTAATTAAAGGCAATCTTGGTGGACCAAACCATTCCACAAAAAAGTACCGGATGAGCACATTCCAGACAGGGTCATGCCGGACGGAATCGATCTCCAATCCAAACACGCCCAGTCACCTTCATTCTTGGCATGGTGAAGCATCCCCGTGTGGCCATGTCTATCTGTTGTGATGTTTCCTCCAATACGTTTATGAGTCAACCAGGATGAGTTTATTGCAAATTTTATATAGGTTTAGTGCCATCGTCAGGAGGCATAAATGTGGAGCATCATTGATATGAATATGATTATGATTATTATGGTCTGTGGGGTACCAGGCTTCTTGTGTACTCCCTCAGTTACAAATTGTTTAGGCTCTGTTTGGAACTGATTCTCAGCAGCTTCTGCCTTCTGGTGGAGAAAATCGAACGGACGGCCCCAAGCGCCGAGAATTTCCACAGCGGCATTTCCCAATGACCAAACTACCCCTTGCAACCGGTAAAAATTACTGCCCTCCAAATTCCACTACATAAACGATCCTCTCCGTGCGCTCGGCCCTTTCGCCTTTGCCCTTCCGCCTTCAGCGCCAAATATCGCCGCCGCCGCCGGCCAGCCGCTGCCTCGCTCCGTCTGCCCCATTTGCTCGTCACTTCACTCCCTCCCGGTGACTCGGTGAGTCCCTGTCTGGCTGTCTCCCCGTTTTCTTCACGCTCCCTCCCTTCCTCGTTGGCACTCCCTCTCCGATGCTTCCCAGTCTCCGGCGTCCGGCCCCGTTCCTCTCGGGCTCGAGCACGCTCCCTTCCTGTGGCTTCCCCGTCTCCGTCTCCCTCTTGCATCTTCCAATCCCTACGCAGGTCTAATAATTCTGTGTGTTGTTCTTTTTGCAGTGGGTAACGACTGGTGCCTTGTGCGAGTCCAGGCAGTGCGGGAGCTGATCCTGTGGTCTAGGCGGCAGCGGTGAGATGGTGATGGTGTCAGGCGGCGGGGGGAACGCGTGGGCGAAGGAGATGACCATCCGCCGCAGGATAGCCAGCATGTGCGCTCCACACCCTGAAGCAATCTCTCTGTTCTCTACTTCTCTGTAAGAAAAGGGATTCTTTTCTATCAAGATGCTAACTACAATTATTTGTATGTTGGGTTCAGATTCAACAAGACGCAGGAACATTTCCCTACTCTGAAGGACTACAACGATTATCTGGAAGAAGTTGAGGATATGAGTGTGTAACACCCTCTGTTTGTTAATTTATTATTCTTGAATTGTACCAATTGGGAAAAACTTAGCAGGTTTGATTTTTCTTTTCAAGCTTTCAACCTGATCGAAGGGATAGATGTCGAGGCGATTGAAGCAAAAATTGCAAGATACCAACAGGAAAATGCGGAGCAGATATACTTGTCCAGAGCTAAAAGGGTGTGTTTTGTCATGATCCCTGATGTAGTCTTATGGAGTACCGAAATTCCTGTTGAAATGTTTTACTCTAACCTTTGACATATTCATATATCTGATCGAGAAAGATTTATCTTTTATGTATAATGTGTTCCTTTATAGGCGGAAGATCTTGCAGCAGCACTTAAAGCAAGCAGGATGAACCCTGTAAAGGCCGAGGCCAATGATACGGTCAGTAGATATTTTCAAGATATATGTTTTCTTCATAAAAAAAAGTATGAAGGTTATAAAATAAAATATGGGTTTTCTTCAACTTAGAGTTCTAATTGTCTGATAGCTGGTTGTGTAAGTACATGAGCAATCCCATCATGCTGGTGTCACTGGTAAGCTGCTTGCATGGGAAATATTTGGCACTACCATTTAGTAGGTCAACCAGGAAAACTTCTAGTAAACATCATGAGATTTTTTTTTGAAGGTAATAAACATCATGAGAATATAGTAGTGATGAAATGCTAAATCATGAAGTTACAGCTTTCAGATTTATCAATATCTTATCAACATGTTCTATTGTTATATTTGCATAGATGTCTTACATCTTTAGATATTGCCCTACCCGACCAACATGACCTCAAATGAAATTTAGTAAAGGCATGATATTGTCATCTTCTCTTTGTATCCTTATATGATCATGTTCAGTTTTTCGTCTGGTTTGACTCACGCATATCTCGCATAAAGAACTATTGCAAAGTTCCTTTTCCTTTCATTATGTTTCTCTATACTGTACTGCTTTACTTTGATACTATTTTTTCTTGAGGTCGATGCATTGATATCGTGTTCTTGGTATAAATGCCAACACTTGGTGCTCTTGCAATATGTAACAGGCTGCTGGGAGTTCTCAGGGTATTAGTGGTGGGGCGGGAGTTCAAGGCCAGTATGCACCTGCCGCCGTTCTTGGGGGAGTGGCTCAGCCTCGCCCCACAGGTATGGCTCCCCAACTAATCGGCAATCGGTCAGATCCTCTTCAAGGAGATGACGAGGAGACCAGGAGACTACGCGCAGAGCGAGCAGCACGAGCTGGTGGATGGACTGCTGAATTGAGTAAGAGAAGAGCGCTGGAGGAGGCGTTTAGCGCCATATTTATCTAGGACTAGATCAAAAGGCAACACATGGCCTGGAGGAAAGCCAGTATATTTAAAATGACCGTCAAACAACTGCACAACCTTGGATGATCTATACCTACATGGATGATCAATACCGCTATTATCTTTGGGACATGGCATTCTCAGATTGTAGCGTACTACCTATTAGCACCAAGTGAGCCTGCCGTTGCAAAAGCATCCTTTGTGTGCAAGCTAGAAAATGCACATTGTTGTTTACCTTGTTCATCTCAGGTCATCGTGACAGTCAAGATTTGTGACTGTTCTTTTGTATAAGGACATGATATGCTGTACGTACCTCGCCTCTCAGACGTAAAAAGAAATTGTCCCAATGATATTTATTGTCAGACTTTTTGTTCAATTCAAACATTCAATCTACTGTGAGTCTTTGACCTCTTCTAACTGTGTCGATTCAGACAACAAAATGTATCCTTCCTTATTAAAGTTATAGCATGTCAAGTAGAGCTTTGCTGTTATTTCAGTACAACACAACAACAATGTCATTGTTTATGCGTTACAGATTTGCCCTTCTATCAAATCAATCAAATACATTTTGCATCGTAATAATAATCAATCAAACTAAATTTAACAATAGAATTATCTCCGCTTGGTAACGGGGCTTACTTTGCAAACTTCCACATCAAATCCAAAATCCATGAGAACAAGAATCCATACAGCTGGTTCCTTGGTCCTTTGACCTCCACAAGTTTAGCCTCACCTTCACCTCTTTCATCGAGGAAACGCCATAGCAGCAGATCAGGCATTCCACTCGACCAGCTCCTGTAATCAACCGCTAGATGACAGAGGAGCGATGTCAAGCGATGGCCACCAATGCACGCAACAACAGCCCGTAGGTGTTAAGGTCGAGGTCCCCAAGGCCGCGCGGCGGCCTGGAGTGGCGCTCACCTTCGACTTCGAGTGTTCCGCGTGGCCTGACGAGATGGAGGTGAGGAGGGTCTTTCCCGTCCGCCGCGGTGGGCCTGCGCCAGTGCAGCAGAACGTCGGCCACCAATTCAGGTGATATTGTATGATGGGAATTAATAAACATCTCTAAATTTTGACAAACTTTTGGATGCTATGTTACTCGTAATTGCTGCTTAGGGTGTTGGTACTCGCCTTGCTAGTGATTTAAAATGTGCCACGTGCTCTATTGTTAGTGAACTAACGATGGTGTGGACGTGTGGCAATGGTCGGAATCCCTTTCCATTCCCAATTCATGTTCAACAAAATGTCAAATGTGGTTGCATTTTGTTTGCAAAAAGGAAATGGTGTGAATTCTGTGTGCCCAAGTACTCCCGCCGACCCAAAACAAATCAACTTCTGGCACTGTCTAGGTACATAGCTAGAAGTTGATTTATTTCAGGACAGATGGAGTATGTATATTATATTTATTTGAAAATGTGACTAGTGTTAACTTGTTAAACACATTAACAAGGAGAATTTATCGCAAGTCCTGTTCTTTTTATTACAAGTTCTGTTCATTACATCAATTATTTAGATGGGCTGACTAAAGTGTTTCATCCGTTTCAGACATATGTTGCAAGAATTTTGTTGTTGCATATGTTTCACACATATGTTGCAAGAGTATATTCCAAATGTTTCAGTTGTTTCATTCTTATGTTGCAGTAAGTGTTTTCATGTTGCAATTATTTTATCTGGATGTTGCATATGTTTGACGCATGTTTCATCTGCTTTAGACTTTATGTTTGCATTGGTGTTTTATGTTGTAAGTGTTTCGTGTTTCACAGGTATGTTCAAAAAGTCATGGGGCATGGCCCGGGTGCTGGGGGAAGGAGCAAAGCAGATGGGGCGCACGACGCGCCTAAGGTCCTGCGGACGAGGCGTGCTCGTCCTCATCCGGGCTCCCGGGTCCCACCCGCGCGGAGAGAGAGGACGGGATCAGGGGCAAGGAGTGGCGGGTGCAGCCGGGGTGCACATGCGGGGTGGGGCAAGGTGGACGGGGGCGGCGTAAGCGTGCGGGTCGGAGCGAGGTAGACGGGGGACGGACGTGCACGTGCAACAGAGATACGGCTTAGCGGCAGACGTGGGCAGGTGGCTAGGGCAGCAGCATGCGCGAGGCGTCCGAACACGCTCATTTACTCCGGACGTCCGGTCGCCAATAATTGCCAAACTTAGTAATGGTCCACGGTGGGTGGCACTATCACCACAGTTGCGTTGGCCTGTACAAGTGTAGTACATCCAGCCAGAGGGAAGTGTTAAAATGTTTGGCATCACAGTTTGGGAGATCTTTTAGTCAAATATAAGTTGTTCACCTTTTGTGTTTTTATAAAAAAAGGTGTCGTACTAGGAAGTATGAACTTACTATTGTGGTCATGGTACATACTCCACCAGATACATCCGATCGACCTAGGTGAAGCAAGTTTCAACCACTGTACTACGGTATGGTGTACAAAGAACCAATGTCGAACAAGAATCAAACGTCTTACCGAAGAACAAGAACCAAACGTGACAAAGGAAAAAGAACAATCGTAACATTTTTATAAGGGAGAAGTGGAGGGAGATGACCGTTGAGAGCAGCTCGGGAGGCGATCCCGAGGACCTCGACGACATTGAAGGTCGGCGATTCCTTGACGCCGGCGACCGCGAAGGTGACCCTGATCTCGCTGGAGATCGACGTCTCCGCGTTGTCGGTGAGATCCACCTTGGCGACAACAGCTTTATGGAGAATAGGTTCGCCGATGGGAGGTGTTCGGGGAGCACCGTAGTGATCACCGACGTCGAGCCGGATCTCACTGAAGGTTGACGGCTCCATGAATCCAACGATCACGACGGTGAGCAGGAGTCCGCTGGAGGAAGGCGTAGCGACGTCGGCGCTGCCCAGGACCTTAGCGACAACGGCCTGATGGGGAACAGTACCTCCACGGTTCCTGGCAGACCACGCGCACGGCGACCACGCATCCCTACATTATTGGAACTTCGCTGGCGAGCGGCGGAGCTGGTTAACGAGACTAAGGTAAGCCTACCTGGTGATTTGGTAAAAGGAGATAGGACGGAGGATGAAGACAGCGGATGGAAATTCGTTGGTGACCGTGGTGATCGAATTGTTCCCGATCCTGCGATAGACCTCCGCCCCTTAGGAGTGAAGTCCAAGTTCTGGGCGTTGACGGACAACGACGATTCCAATGAGGAGGTCGTACAGTCACCTTACACGCCGGACTTGGTACGCCAAGTTGTTGTTCATGGTTTCGTAAAGGAACAGCTTGTCGAGGCGGAGATGGCTTTGCAGGACTCGTCGATTCAACGACGGGTAGAAGCATCTGCGTCCCTGGCTTCTTCGGATACGAAGATGGTGTTAGTGTGAAACATCATTAAAGCTTGGACCGAGCGACGGCGGACGTCGATGGCGCCGTGGTCGGGGAAGTTGCCGTGACCGAGAACGTCGCCGGCGATGACTCTAGGCGACTGTTCGGCAACAGATTTGCATGGTCGACGATCAGTGGAAGGGGGTACTCTTGCTGAGGCCCTAGGGAGGTCATCTTCACCGTCACCGGCAAAGATGGAGCTGACTCTGATCAGAGTTCATCGTGCATCCTGGTTTCAAATTCAAAAGCCGTTCGATCTGATTCTCGTGGCAGCAAAACAGCGGCAGGTTTGATCCGGAATCCCAGCGGGGTCGGGTGGGCCTATTGACATAGCCCAACGTGGGGCCCATTTGGTTAACGGACTGAGACACGAACGTTGTCACCGTGGAAAATTGGTCGATCGTTTCCTTCGTGCAGACTTCGACCTTGACGCAATCAACTGCAAAACCCTAGCCGCCACTCCCTACACGGTTCTTCCTTCATACGCACAGGTGGATCGTGCAGGCATGGCGGCGGCAGGCACGGCCGGTGGCGGAGACGGCGGTGTTGGCAGTGATGGTGGCGGTGCCGGGGGTGAGGTTTCACAGCTGGTCGTGGAGGAGGGTGCACAGGTGGCGGGGCTGGAGCGCGTGGTGGCAGGCAAGGCCCTAGCGCCGGACAGGGCTATGGCGTCGGGTTGGGCTTCAACTACAATGACGACGGCGCACGCTTCAACGGACCCCGCTTCAATCCCAACCTGGGGTCTCATCCGCCGAATTACGGCCCGGGTTGGGATTACGAGCAAGGTCGATGAGGACGGTACGGCGGCAATGGCGGGCATGGATGGAACGGCTCCTACCACCAAGGTTGCAATTTTCAGCGACACATGCCACATCGGGAGCAGCGGGGGTAGCAACAAGGTCCTCCGCAGCAACAGCCACTGGTACCACCGCAGGTGCCGAATCAACATTTGGCGAGTCATCAACAACACGTGCCTCAGCCTCCTCCGGTGTCGTCTGGCATGGGGACACAGTCAAAGACAAAGCAAGCCGGGCAGGGGTTGGAACAGCATGTTTCGGCTACTACTGAGCAGCAACCGACAGCAGGGGCAGGCGCATCCTCGTTCGTAGCAATGGGCAAGACCGATAAACAGCCGGCATCTCAGATTCTGTTGGGTTCTTCCTCGGTGGCCAGAGCAGGTGATTTACAAATGGAGAATTCAGAAATTGGATTATCTGGTGCTGGTGCAATGGAGGTAACTCACAGGGCGTCCACTACTAAAATATGCAGACGGTGTGGAGTTAAGGGGCATCTGATGTTTGAGTGTATAGCGATAGTGTTCTGTGAAATCTGTAGGAGCAACGATCATGCCATGTGTCAGTGCCCGGTCCTCAAACAACCAAAGCCAGTAGTCCAGTTAGTTGGCCAAGCTGCCGATGCACTTGATGGTTTTCATATTCCTCATGCTCCTATACGGCTGGCAAAGAAAGACTCCAGAATGGCTCTACTCTCTACTTCAGGCAAGAATGTGACAGAGGAGGAAGTTGTGAATTTTTTGCGAGTGCTGGTGTCTGATACTTTTGCTTGGGAGGTAAAAAGGCACAATGGCTTCGAGTTTAAGGTTCTTTTCCCATCAAAAGGGGACCTAACGAAGATGACAAAGTTTAATGCAGAGATGAAAGAAGGGGTTACTCTTAAATTCCAAGAATTTAAGGAGGATGAAGAATATTATGGACATGCTTTACCTGTGGTCTGGATGCGGGTCATTAACCTTCCAACAATTCTAAGAGAGTATGCCATTCTGTGGGCACTAGGAACCCTTTTTGGTGTTACACAGTGTGGCAGAACCACCTAATCTAATGCCTCCCATGAGTACTTGTCTTCCATTAGATAATAAGTCCTCAAGGAAGGACACTAAATTACGCAATTCCGTCGAGCACACCCAAAGGGAGAACCCAAAAATCCATATTTTTTTCATCAGGATTACAAATAAGAGAATAAAGCTTACAACATTCTTAAGTCATTTCTTATGTCACTTTCCATGCAACATCAGAGTATAATATTTATTGTTTATAACAGCGGAATATAACCATGCTATCAGAGTTTCAGCGGAAATAAAATCATTTAACGACAAGTTAAACATTAACATGATGATCCGTTATATACATCATAACAAGTTATAAGTTTTTCATTGTAAAACATTTTGGGTGAAAGTTTCAAATAAACTCTATGTCCGCAACATTAAGGAAATCCTCGCTGAGCCCACCAGGAGGTTTCCACACACAAGTGTCAGCTCTGCATGTTCCTGTCACCTACAACAGGGTTGAACAAACCCTGAGTACTCAATTATACTCTGCAAGACTTACCCGTCAGGAGCAAAGAAAAGACTTCAAGGATATGCAAGGCTATCTGGCTTGTGGTTTATTGCATCTACAGGAAGCATTACTAAATGTGCGTCCTTATATTCAATTTCATTAGCAGTCATCATTAGTTCATTAACTAACCATTCTATGTAAGCATATGTGCTACTTTTCAAGCAGGTGGTAAGCAATCCTAACTATTTTATCATCTTTCATATTCCAGTTCTTACTATGGTGCTAGACTGTAGACAAGTCGTACCAGATTACCTGGTGATTCGTGAATCAATGTGCCCAGCTGGGTACCCTAAAACACACGCCCCGCTTGTACCCCAGGCACAAGCAGGACCAACCCACCACTC